CCCCCTGCTTGTGTTCCCTCTCTTGCTGTGTCTCCGTCAAATAAATAAATAAAATCTTTAAAAATAAATAAAAGTTAATTCATTATCAGTCATAGCTTTATTATTATTTTTTAAAGATTCTATCCATTTATTTGTCAGAGAGAGAGACAGAACAAGCAGGGGAAGCAGCAGGCAGAGGGAGAAGCAGGCTCCCCGCCGAGGAACGAGCCCGACATGGGGCTCGATCCTAGGACCCAGGGATGATGACCTGAGCTTAAGGCAGACTCTTAACGAATGAGCCACCCAGGTGCCCCTCCATCATAGCTTTAACTTTAAGAACCAAATTATAATCTTCTGTTAGAAAACATATGAGAAAAATCCTTCTTACCCTGGGTTAGAAAGAAATTTGATAAATGGGCCACAAATGCATGAACCAGAAGAGAAAAACTTGCTAAATTGGACTTTATCAAAAATAAAAACGTCTTCTTCAAAAGACACAAACAAGCCACAACTTTGGAGTAAATACTGGAAAACACATGGAAGAGAAAGAACTTGCAACTAGAATATATAAAGATAACAGACAGACATATTTAAAGATATATATATTTATATACGTATATAAAGATAATAATTATATTACACACAAAAATGGCAAAAGATTACAATAGACACCTCACCAAAGATAAACAGATTGCAGACAAGCACATGAAAAGATGCTCAAGATCAACAGTCATCACAAAAATGCAAATTTAAGGGGCGCCTGGGTGGCTCAGTCAGTTAAACGTCTGCCTTTGGCTCAGGTCATGATCCCAGGGTCCTGGGGTCAAGCCCCGCGTCCGGCTCCTCGCTCAGCAGGGGGTCTGCTTATCACTCCCCCTCTCCCTGCTCATGCTCTCTCTCAAATAAATAAAATTTTTTTAAAAAGTGCAAATTTAAGTCACAATGAGCTACCCGTACACACCTACATGAAAAGTGTGTTGTTGGTGGGAAAACAAAATGGTATACCCATGTTGGAGAACAGTTTGGCAATGTCTTATAAAGTTAAACATATGCTTACCATATGACCAAGCAACCCTACTACAGAAATTTACCCAAGAATATAAAAACATATGTCCACATAAATAGCTGTACAGTATGTTCACCAGTTTCATTAATAATAACCAAAAACCAGGAACAATTCAAAAGGGCATTAAGTGCTTCATGGATAAATGAACTGCGACATGACTTGGCTATAAAAGCGACAAACTGGGACGCCTGGGTGGCTCAGTCGGTTAAGCATCTGCCCTTGATTCGGGTCATGATCTCAGGGTCCTGGGATCGAGCCCTGTGTCGGCTCCCTGCTCAGCGGGGAATCTGCTTGTCCCTCTGTCTCTGCCTCTCCCTCTCTCCATACCTATGCCCGTGCTCCCAATCTCTCTCTAAGATAACTAAATAAAATCTCTAAAAAAGGCAACAAACTACCAAAAAATAGCACAACATGAAATTAAAAAGCCTTAAGTGAAAAAAGTGAGATGAATAAGGCTACCTACTAAAAGATTCATTTATGTGACATTCTAGAAAGAATCAAACCACAAGAAAAAAAAAAAAAACCCAGGTCTGGGGGTACAAAGAGAAGTTTAAGAATGAAAGGAAACAAGGGTTTTTGGCAGGATTGAAAATGTCCAATATCTTGATGGTGGTGGTGGTTACGTGACTACATATTTGTTCAAGAAAGGTGAACTTCAGGGTATATAAGTTATACCTCAATAAATCTCACTTAAAAAAAGAAGAGTCACATTCGCATAAATATGTAATGAAAACACATGGAAAACACATATGGGAATTCGTTAAAACATTATTACATACAACCAAATTCCATATGGTACTATTTATGAATTTCCTTTTATTAAAATACCTATTAAGCATTAATAAAAGCATTAAGAAAAAACAATATTAAAAAGTTGTGACCTCTAGTTAATGATATGCCTGTGGAAGTATTTAGGGGTGAAGGGTACTGATCTCTGAAACTTACTATGAAACTCACCACAAAAAGAAAGAGGACTGATGGAAGGACAGAGGAATCAGTACAGACAGAAGAAAAAGCAAATACAGCAAAATGTTCATTGTAGACTCCAGGGGGAATTCTGTGGGTGTTCAAACTATAATTCTTTCACTTGTTCGGTGTGAAAATTTTTATAATAAAATGTTGGGGAGAAAGGCTAAAGAGCAGCAAAGTAAACCCAAAGTAAGTAGGAAAAAGGAAATAAAGGTAAAAGGAGAAGTGAACAAAACGGAAAACAAGAGACAGGGAAAATTCACAAAGGCAAAGACCTTTCCGTGAAAAGCTTAACAACCTTTTGATGAACTTCAGACTTCACCCTACTCCATGGGATTGGACAATTCGGATTACTCGAGTGAGGCCACTCTTGAGACTAACCATTCCTAGAAGATTTCTCTCAGAACAACCAGCGAATTTTTTTAAAAGATCTATTTATTTATTTGAGAGAGACAGAGAGCGAGCAGGGGGAGGGGCAGAGGGAGAGGGAGACAAGCAGACTCCCCACTGAGCGGAGAGCCCGATGCAGGGCTGGAGCCCTGGACACTGAGCTCACGACCTGAGCCAATATCAAGAGTCAGACACCCAACTGACGGAGTCACCCAGGAGCCCCATCAGAACAACCAGAGAATTGCTGGGACCTGCCAGAAATTTCCTATAGGCCCAGGGGAATAGGCAGTCCCGAAGCAGCTTGAAGTCTGGCGGAAGAGAAAAAGCTGTCCACCTGCTCCTGTCGTCTCCTCCGCCCGACCCCACGCTCCTCGGTGAGGCCTGGCCATGTCTCCCGAGCCTCTGAACTCTTCGCAGGGGATATTTAAAACGGTGGATCCTACCTGGCCATGGGCGTCGGGCTATCTGCAGTGTCCCTCCCAGTGCACAGAACCAGGACCACCCGGGGCTTTCTGGAACAATTTCCATCAGGTGGGGCCTAACAGTGAGGATCCTGCGGGGTCCACAGATCACTATGTGAATGCCTTGGGTTAACAAAGACTAGTAAGACATGTTTTATTAAACACAACAATAAAAAGAGTGATACCCACTACCGAAAGCTCCCGGGGGTCGAGGCACCAGTTTTGGTGCTTTACATTCATCCACTCATTAAACTCTCACAACCCTGTAAGTTCTAGCATCAGCCCCACTCTACAAGCAGGCAAAGAGGCTCTGAGGCGAGGGTGCAGAGGGACAGCTAGCGAGCCAAGAAGCCAGAAATCCAGTCTGGGCTGTGAGCTCCAAAGCCGGAGCCAGTGACCCCTGGCTGTGGATGAGCACCGAACCTCCTTCCTCTGCCCTCCTCCAAAAGGAAAGATTGTTTAGGGAATGTTCCACCAGCCCCACACCGGGACAGTAAGAATAAGATGCAGGCATTCTCTCTGGGGTTCTGTGTTCTAGGCAGAGAATAAGCCACAGACACTTAGCTAGGTTTAGAAGGAGTTACCAAATGGAATGTAGACATAGAAGCTGAGCTCTATTATTCACACTTACAAATGTAACCATCAGGAAAACTACAAATAATAACTTAACAAGCATTGTGCAGAGCTGAGCAGAAGGCCAAGGTGGAAGTGAGATAAATCCTGAGTTTTCATAGAGGGGAGATAAAAGAGAAATCTCCAGAAATGCAGGTATGAAGGGATTCCCGGGACCCAGGAGGTACCCATCCGCAGAATTATAAAGAGAAACCCCGAGAAGAGGCAGAACGTGGAGGTGTGGCTGGGAATGTGCTGACATGACCTGGATCCCGGACTGCCCTGCACGCACACCCAACGTGGGTACGGTTCCTTCCAACAGAACAGGTGTTCATGAAAGGTTACTGGACTCAGGGAGGGGGCTGCGCCTCTGAGCTTGCGCTTCCTCCTTCCAGGGCACCACTGAACTGAGAACGAGGCTCCGCCAGTTCAATTCCTGGAAACCCCAGAGCAGGAAAAAGCAGGCCACGAGCAGAGCAGAAATGCTGATGGATCTGGACACGGCAGCAGGTATGGGGTTGACGGAGCACAAAGAGGACACCGTACCCCCGAAGAGCCGTGGGGGAGGCAGGTGCAGGCCAGCCCAGGAGGCCCCGACAGAGAGAGGGTGCACAGCCCAGCAGAGGCGGGCTGTGGGGAAGCCGTCGGGGTGGCCGCTGGGAGCGCGCCAGAAGAAGAGGAAGACCGGCGTCTGAAGAGTGTGTGGATCCCCACAAGGGGCCCAGAGCCAAACCAACCAAACCCACGGAGGAGGCAAAGAGCCGCTGTGCCCAGGACGGAGGCAGCGCTCACTGAAGCAGGCCGCCCGCGAGGGATGTCCTCTCCGGGTCCCCTGTGTTCTGGGGAAAGACAGAGATGACACGGAGGACAAAACAGGTGAGTGGGAGGGAGGCAGTGGTAAGAGCAGGAAGCTGACAACAGGCGGAGTCGGGTCACATCTGGAAGAGATGGGGGGACTGAGAAGCGAGGACTGGGACCCGTGAAGGCTGACGCGGTTGAGCACGACAGAAGCACGGAGAGAGCACGAAGGCTGCCCGGCCCGGCCGAGCTGGAGGCCACCAGCAAAGCTTCTGGTCCTCACCAGCTCCAGCAAGCCAGGCGGGATGACTTCCCCGAGGCTGAAGAGGACTCCCAGCGTTAGATGTAAAGGGCCCACAGAACGACAGATAAAGAGGGCGCGTCACACCTACAGCACATCTCTTCTGAGGAAAAGGCAAATGCCCACGGGAGGAGAAACAGCCTCAAAGCTTCCAGAAAGGAGGGGGAGCAGGAAAGGCGGAAGGCCACCCAGGATACCGGGACGTGGACTTGGGACCTGAACCCCAAGCAGAACAAGGGGGCTGCGGAAGGGTGGCGGGGGCAGGGGATGTCACGTGCCTACCACGCGGCTGGTTTCATCGAAGCCAAGTCAGGTCCCCGAGTCTAGGGACTCTGACAAGAGCCCCCAGGCCTGCCCCTGACGCCCAGCTCTCGCTGACCTCCTGGTCCCCTGCCCTGGCCCAACGGGCCGCGTGCGGGCTCACCTGGATAGTTCCACGCCGACGGCCCTCCCTCTGCCCTCCTGGCCTCTTCTCCTCGTCCCGATCTCAAGACCTCATCCGGGCTGGCAACGAGGTATCCTGAGGAGGGGAAACGACACAGACTTCGTTAGTAATGCCAGACGTGTTCCAGAACCAGGGCCTCTCCCTGCCAACCGACACGGTCCGGCCTCGGTGCGGGCCCCGAGGACGGCTCTGTGCCCCTCAGTGCAGACCAGTCACCGAGAGGGCGAGAGCACAGACATCCGGGGCGGGGTGCACACGGGCTCTGACTTCCCAGCGGTGAGCCTGAGGCCCCAGCTCATTCCGGGCTCCGGAGGCCCCGGAGCGGGCAGCAGCTGAGGTGACACGAGGGCGCGTGTCCCAGTCACGCTGCGCAGCCGTCCCTCACCCACGGACACCAGGTGGCTGTAGTTCTCCAGCGTGACATCCCTGTAGAGGTTCCTCTGAGCGGAGTCCAGCTGCTGCCACTCCTCCAGGGTGAAGTCCACAAACACATCCCTGAAGGTCAAGGATTCCTGCAATGGCACATTCCTCATGAGCCCGCAGTGCTGGGCTCGGGGATCGGGACCCTGTGCCCCATCCTCAGACTTCCACACGCAGCAGAGATTCAATCTGGCGCCCGCCCCGGGACACCCCGGACGCAGGAGGACAGACTGGCTTTGCACAGTGGGAAGGCACTTGCCCAGGGTCGCACAGCGAGGACAGAGGGATGAAAATGCACGCGTTCTGCTCGCCACACCCACGTCTTTCAACACGACACTGCCCCGCCTTTCTCGACACAACTGTTCCCTGCTGTTCGCCGCACAATTTGAGACCGTGTAGTGGATGCAATGTTCATGCCCCTAAATTATTTTAAACGTTATAGAGAACAGAAGAGGCGGTAAAGAGAGCTTCCTCTGGAAATGCAATCTTTCAGCTCCCTGACTGAACACAGATCAAGCTGCTAAGTCCAGAGGATATAAGGAATGATAAAAACAAACACACCCTCTCTGAACTGAGGGCGCTTCGCCTCGTAGAGGGAGAAACGCCGCACTTACCAAGGCACACAGGAAAGGGAGGGGGGCAGGAGGGCGGGCTGCCTGTCCTCCCAGGGCAATGGCAGAGGCAGAATAGGGAACGGAGCCTACAAAGGAGTCAGTTCTGCTCGGGGCGGGCAGAGAAGGCTTCGCAGGGGACATAGAGCTATGACAACAGTTCTGAACACAGCTCCTCGGTCAGGACTGTGAGGTAATAGGAGATAAGTACTGCTCTTGGCTCCAGGTCCCTGTTGCAGAGCTCCTAAAACCCTCACAAATCCCCACGTGAGAAGAATACGAGGAGCATCTCGTGTTCCAATGAGGTGACTCGAGGTGAGCGGATGGGGCTGGAGACCAGAAAGGCCAAGCTGTGACTGCAAGCTCTGGATTTTCAGCCCCACCCACCCTTCTCCAGCAATGGAAGAGGGGCTAGAAATGGAGTTAACCACTGATCGGAGTTGCGTTACGAGGCCGCCATAAAATCCCCAGAGCATGGGTTTCGGGGAGCTTCCCGGCGCGTGAACACATCCATATTCCGGGAGGATGATGCTTGCCAAGTCCACACGGACAGAAGCTCTTGTGCTCAGGGCCCTCCCAGGCCTTGCCCTACGTATCTGTTTATCCGGCTCTTCGTGTGCATCCTTCATCATATTCTTTAACAAACTGGTAAATGTTAAGTCAGCGTGTCCCCGAGTCCTATGAGACGCTCTAGCAAATAATCGAATCCAAGGAGGGCGTCACTGGCCCGCTGGTCAAAAGCCTGCAACTCGGGGCTGGCATCTGACGGGGGGCCCGGGGGTGGCCGTGTGGTGGGACTGAACCCTTAACCTGTGGGATCCGATGCTATCTCCAGGGAGCCAGTGTCAAAGCTGAGTCACGTGTAGGACACCCATCTGGTGCGGCAGCGAGTTGTGTGGTGTGCGGGAACCTTCTCCAGATCTGGTGACCAGAAGGGTCCGAGATAAAGTGTTCTGTGTGAGGGCAGAGGAGACACGCTGGAGAAAGGCAGGCAGGGAAGACACAGTAGGCAAGGACTGGGCTGTTTCCCTCCAGAAGGCGGCTGCACAGTCACCCGACTGCTAATCGTGCCTAATCCACCATGAGAGGGAACAGGAAGCAGGAGGGTGGGAGTCTGACCTGGTCAGCAGACGGAGGTAAGGAAGGAAGGGTCTGTGTTTGGTCTTGTCGGCACCAAACAAACGCTCACTTTTCTGAGTGCCCACATTCCTCTCAGAGAGAGAGCAGGACCCCCCCCCCCCCCCCCGTTGACACCTGCATCTATCTCCTCCTGACCCCTCATCCCCCACTGGCCGGTCTTCAGTCCGGGAGACAGGTGGCACCCACAGGGCCCCAACAGGCCTCACCGGACAGCCGGTTACTCAGCGCTGCAGATGGGAGACGAGCCGGGACACTCCCTGGGCAGCAGGAACAGTGACAGGAAGGTGGGACTCTCAGAGCAGACACCCCTCCTGTCACCCCTCCCAAGTGACAGCTCAGGTGCTGGGGACCAAGACCACACTGGGGAGCGCAGGGGAACACCTGGCTCGGAGGCCCTCAGCTGTCAAAATTCACGATGCGCAGAGCCCCCGACCTAGAATCCTCACCTCCAGACAGCTATCTTGCAGATGAGACAAGCTCACAAGGAACAAACGGAACCGTACACGGCTGAGTGTCGCTGCATCGTTTATGATATCAAAAGACAAGACTATTCTCAATGCTCAGCCCTGGCAGAAGGCAAATATACAGGACGGTATTTCCAGCCAGTGGAATATCACAGAGCCATTTTTGTAAATGGGGTACCACCCGGGGGTGATTTAGCCCTTCGGGGAACGGGTGGCAATGTCTGGAGAAACTCTTCACTGTCACCACGAGGGGAACGAGGTGGGGACACTGGCATCAGGAGAGCCCGGGGCAGGGACGGTTAGATAGCGTCCAGGGCACACAGCCACCCTCCACAACACGGCACTGCCTGGCCCCAAATGTCAAGCGTGCCCAGGTGGAAAAACCCGGGGTGGTTCAAACACACAGTGAAACGGAATGGTCGTGGAGAAGTCCAGAATGTGCTGGAATATGTGAAGAAGGAAGAGTTCCAAAGTGAATGGCATTCTTAGGTGCGAAGACACGTGCATACGTGATCTCGCCAAGAACGTATGAAACAAGGAAGGACACGGGGCATGGGGTGACGGGGAGAATGACTTTTCACCTTTTGTTAAACAAGCTTTTGTTTTGAATTTTTTACCATACGTACACATCATTTTTCACAGTGCTCGACTCAACATATCAACACTCCGTTCAGACTATGTGTTTAGAATCTTGACATCCATAGTCTCAAGTGAATCAGGTGTATAACTTACTTGCTGTAATATCTTTATCAAATTTAAAGATAAGTGGCTCCATAAAACCAACTGGTTTCCTTTTCAACTTTCAACAGCCTGGAAAAGCTGAACACAGAAATTATCTGGTCTTTAACATTTGGGGAGAGTCATAATTAGTCTAGGATTTGGGACAGCCAATTCAAGTATGAATACCTTTGACCCCAAAATCCAACTTCTAGGTGAATCCTCCTTAAATACCCGCACTATTGAACACACACATAAAGAGTCGTCCGAGAGGCACCGTACAGAACAGAAAAAGAAGATCCAAATGCTGACTATGCACAAAGAGAGCCACAGTTGAATGAAACATCCAGAGCACCGCATGGAAACGGAAGTCTTCTTTCTGCACTGAGGAGCAACACCACGCAGAGTAGAACCAGGCGGGAAAAACAAGACGGGAGCGGGGCTGGCTCGGCATCTGTGCACACTCACCCACCACGGCCTACGGACCTGTGGTCAGCTCAGGAAGCTCACAGAAACGCAGCCACCCCACACCATCCCCGCACTGTTACCAGGGGGCACTCGGAGGAGAAACGTGGCACCGGGGGCCGAAGAAACAGGGATGTTGGGACTGTCCTTCAGTGCACAGAACATCAAGCATGGAATTACTTTCATTATTTGCATATAACGAAAAAGCAAACAGTGAGGTGGAAGCAAAGACACAGAAAAAGCGAGTCTATGGGCTTCAACGAGCTTCCCTGAGAAGCAGAAGAACAAAGAGGAGGTGCGTTTCCCAGAGGAAGAAGTAGATGAGAACAGTCACTTTCCTTCTCTCTTTTGTTGTTTTCTATTTTGGGTTTTTGTGGCGAGTGGAAGGATCGGAGGACCCGGAGGTGGATTACAGCTTGAATGGAAAACAGCCAGGCAGAAGGGAGCGACCGATTTGTCAAGGTTACGATATAGGTGCCCCAAAGCTGCCTCAAGTTCCCTGGAAACAAGGGAGGGGGGAAATCAGGAACTCACCCGGGCCGCGGCCATCCTGTTCTGCCCCGGACAAAGGGCGGGGATCTAGGAAGACAGAATGAGGGGGGTCGAGATCAGTGCGTTCAGCCATGAGACCGTCCCCACCAGCCTGATGACCATCCCCCTTGCACCTGGGGAGAATGATGTGCAACGAGCCTGGGAGCTCCAGCCCGGTCCCTGCGACGTGGATAGGCTCGTGTGGGCTTTGCACAGGACCTGTGTCTGCGGGCCTCCAAGTTGCCCCAAATGAGTCTTGTTGCATTTCTCAACATATTTAAAAGCAGATCACAAAAACACAAGGGCAGCGCAAGCTCATTTGTTCACCTGTACGTACACACTGAGGATCAGCAGTGTACCAGAGCGTTTACTAAAATGTTGACACTGCTTTTCTCTGACTGCTGATTCAGTTTGCTGCTTTTCTTTACTTGCATTTTTGAATGTGAACATTATCACTCATAAAATGGAAATGAAAACTGATTACACGGAGCCCCAGAGGTGACCGACAGATAGCAGAGTCTGGAGGACGGGGACCTCTGGCTGTGGCTTGCAGCACGGAGACAAACCAGGGCTGGGGAAGGGGCAGGGAGCGGGAAGGGAGTGAAGAGCCCAGCACTGGTCATTCCACGAGGATCTGGAAGCCACTGACCTTGTCACCCTGCGCACACTGCCCCTCACTGCCCGCTTCCACCCCGGTCCTGGCTCGTGACTTCCTCCTTTCCCAGGATGTCCATTCAATTGCCTGCTCTTCCCCGCTGGGCAGTTTTCTTTCTTTTTTTTTTTTTTAAAGATTTTATTTATCTATTTGACAGAGAGAGAGAGAGAACACATGCACAAGCAGGGGGAGCTGCAGGTAGGGAGGAAGAGGGAGAAGCAGGCCTCCCACCGAGCAGGGAGCCCGACGTGGGGCTCGATCCCAGGACCCTGGGAACATGACCTGGGCCGAAGGCAGACGCTTAACCGACTGAGCCACCCAGGCGCCCCTGCTTGGCAGTTTTCTAAGCAAAGTCTCCGCCAGGAGCTTCTACAGAGTAGCTCCTGCCCCAGCCACCCCGGCGGCAGCCTCTCGGACACCAGCGCTCAGCTCCATGCAGCTTAACGTCTCCTGCTCTCAGGCCCCGTCACAGTAGCACCGAAATGAGGCAGCAGAACCAGAAGACAGCGTACCTGCAGGCTACTTGCAAATTTTACCGAGGCAAAAAGAAAACAAAAGTGCTCTGCACTTTGCTCAGACTAGGGGGAGATTCAACATTTGTGCAGAGGTGGGTGGCATGTTCACGCTCTAGGGCTGACGCAACTCCAGAAACAGCCGATGGAAAAGAGGCGGGTATATGCCGTGCACACAGGCGTGGCAGGACAGGACAGAGTCCTTCCAGGCTGGCAGTGATCCTCGTCACCCTGATCCTGCCCCTGCAGGACTGCGGCAGGCCACTGCCTCATGGCAGCATCCCTCCGTCCACCTGCACATTTCATCTCTCTCCTCCGATGGGGTCCAACTGCCCACGGTCACACAGTGGGCATGCTGTCTCGCAGCTGGAGGAGGGACAGAGGCCGCTGCGGGTCCAGCCCTTCTTGGACCTGCCGTCCTCTAAGCCTCCACCCCCTGCCCCGGGGTCCGGGTCTGTCCCGGGAGTCTGCACCCCCTGCACTGGGTTCTGGATCTGACCTGGGACCCTGCATCCTCTGCCCCGGGCTGAGGCTCCTCCTCCCAGGCCCCTCATAAGAGCTCTCTAGTTCCTAAGGATGCAGGACCAAAGGATTCAGAGACAAACCCATCTCAGCCGGGACCATCCCTGCAACACCATGTCTGTGCCTCTGACCCGGGGGGACTCACCTTCTGAGGCTGCACACTGGCTCTTCTGTAGACTAGGAAGCCCAGGAGCGGGCGAGCTGGAATCTGCAGTTGGTGAGCAGTGGTCTCAGTGACGCACCCTGCTCCTGGAAAGAAGGACCACACAGGAGATGTCATTAGCAGCCCCTGTGACGGAGTGAAGTTGAGGAAAACTCAAATGTTTTAATTTATGGAAGGAAGCACAAGGCCTCCTCTGAGTTTGAAGAGTAACGTTTAGTAGGACCCCAGCTATCAGCAGACAAGGAGCTGAGCACTGCCCGCTCCGGAATCGAACGGATTGCCTGCTCTGTCGCTTTTATTCATTCAGTGAAAATGCTGAGGGCCCGCTATGTGCCTGTCCTACGGGCTGCGGATACATCAGGGTACAAAACAATCCGAGGTCCCCGACCTTGTGGAGCTGTATTCGAGCAGGGAAGGCCGACAGCAAGCACAAACTTGATCAATTTCGGGAACGTTAGTTAGAAAGGCTAAGTGCTAGGCGGGGGGGAGGCGGGGGGGGGGGGCGGGGGGGGGAAGACGGAAGGATCCCCCGGGGTTGACTAGCTGTGTGACTTTGGACAGCTGTCCGAGCCTTTCTGTTCTTGCTTCCTCGCAATAAAATGAAGATCATCGTAGCACCTGCTCACAGGCCATCGGGAAGATGCCCGGGAACCCCAGGGGCGCCTCGCACTTACTAGGCACTCAGCAAACTCACTGATCGTCTCACTTGCCGTCGCCCGCATCCCGCTGCCCACACTCAGCCGGCCGCCCAGTGCCGCGAGCCCGCAGAGGCGCGAACCCACCACCCCCGCCCTCCCCTGCAGCCCGTGTCCGCTCCGCCTCCCGGCCCTCGCCTCCCACAACCCGACAGTCGGGGCGGAGAACAACCACCGGTGGGACCTCGCACCGCCCCCGGGTCAGCGGACCACTTCCGCTCCCGTCGCCGCGCAGCCCGAGGTCGGAGCGAGGCGCACGCGCACGAGCCACTGGGTTGGGGGGGCGGTCCCCACTGTCAATGGGCAAGATGGCGCGTGTCGCGGACAGTGATTCGGCCGGGGTTCGTCCGAGGCGCGAAGCAGTGACCAGAGCGTGCGAATATTTCCCGCGACGAGTCGCACATCACGGCGGCGCGCTGGGGGGTGGGGGTGGGGGCGGGGCGGGACGGAAATGGCGTCTCCGGGCGGCTAGGCGCGCGCGGAGGGTCTCAGCGGCTCCGGTTCCGCCGCCTCCGAGGCCGAGGCGCTCTCTCCCGCGCCGTTCTGCTGCGCACCCTCCGTCCCGCAAAGCCACGCTCTCCGCTCCCTTCAGCTCGTCGCAATAAGGAACGGTAGCGGCGCCTGCTGCGGTCCTCAGCGGCACATGGGCGCGGCCATCTTGGGGGCGGGGCCGTTCCCTGGGACCCGTGCCCTTCCCAGGCCCAGGGGTCAGAGAGCGGCGGTCCGGCCCAGGCGGGGCAAGTGGCCCGGAGGAGGGTCTGGTAGCCGGGCCGGAGGGCCGGTCACACCCACAGACGAGGAAAGCCCGATGCCTCATTCTCCTGAAATAAATCGGGTTGCTCCCGTTTCGGGGACCCCGGGCGTCCCGGGAGAGTGGTTTTGCTTTCTGACGACACTGCCTAGAGAACGAGAGAATCTTGGGTCTCTGACAGTGGCAGCCCCTGGTAGCTTGGCCTGCTAAAAAAGCCTGCAAGTGCCCTTGGGGAACGTGTGTGTTTCCGTAGGGTCTGGGGAAAAAGAGGCCAAGTGTGTGCTGCCCTTGTAGCTGCCTGGTCACCAAGCAGAACCCTTCGGGCGGTGCGTGGTCGGCTCTCAGCTCAGATGCACCCAATTCCTTCCGAGCTAGAGCCAGCAGGTGCCACGCACTGTGAGAGAAGCCTGTGACAAAAACCCTCATGCAGTCCACCATACACGTGTGGAGGCTTCCATTTGGAACATACTGCTCTCTCCCTCTCTTTCCCTTTCCCCTCTGTGCGTCAACTAACATTCCCCGGGTGGTTTGGATGATTCGTAGCCCAGATCTCCGGCGCAGAGTTCTGGGAAGTGACTGTCCAAGCCTTGAGTAGGAGTCCCGGGAGAAGAGCCCGTTCTCCCTCAGGCGTGTGAGTGGGTACTGCTCCCCACTGCGAATGCATTCTTCGTGCGTTTGTAAGTGATGGCCCGGCTTGGAGATGCTACCTGTTCGTTTCTAGAGGAGAGGTGACCTGCTAACCTTCTTTTCGGAGATCACGATCAGGAGGCAGGAGGAGGTTAGTAGAGTTAGTCTGCTAGTGTCCCAGGGACGATTGAGAAACCCCCAGTTGCAGAAGTACCTGGTCTTTGGCCCTGGTGGGACTCTCCCCAGATCCTGATAAGACAGGGACAGGTGCTTGCCGAGAAGGAGAAGACCTGACGGTTTGGGTGGGGCCCGGGGAAGGACGCAGATTTGTTAGTCCTACAACGCCAGCATTTCTAGTGTGACTTGGTCGTTTTGGAACCGAGAAACATGTGAGGTGTTCTTCCAGTCCATCCTCTGCCCGGGCTGTTCGGATGTATCAATCCACAGGGGAGAAGGCTTGTCCCCACCACTCTCTGGCTCCTTGGGTCATAGCTGAAGACCACCTGCCTAAAGGGCTGTTGTGACTGATGTAGGGTGCATCTTAGAGCCCCCAGGGTTTAGCCCAGGGCAGGCTCCCGGTCTGTGGTGGCGGTTCACGTTGTTTTCTCATACACACTCGGGAACGTGCTCGGGCCGTTGCTGTACCTCCCCATAGTGTGGGCTCCCCCTTTGCCGCCTCCTTGCACGATTGTGCCCGTGCCCGGTTCCAACCTCACCCAGGATTACCGCTCATACTCAACGGAAAACATTTTTTCCGTCGGCCACTAAGCCTTCTCATTAAGTGAAAACGAATTGTAAAGGGTAAACCTAGGAGGCCTGGATTGCTCAAGGCCCGTGCATGCCCCCCGAAAATCCCGTTTCAGGAGGACTGGTCCTTATCTGGCTCCTGGGAGACCACCACTAAGCCCCTGTCACGTTCTGCCTGGTGGGAGGGTTTTTGTGTTCCAAGCGTCGCTGTTCCAAGTTGGCCCGGTGGTTTATGCAAACAGTGTGACTTAGGTGAACATCTGGTTCTGTGTGTGTGCGGCCTCGGGCCGTGCTGTATCAGTTTGACATCTGGAGGGCTGTGGCCTGAGTAGCTAAAGTCCTCACAGGGATGCTGCATGCTCGCAGAACCTCCAAGAAAACCCCTGGCCCCTAGGCCTGGGTGGGCTGCCCTGGCTCGCCGCGCGTCGCAGGTTTGGGTGCACAGCAGTCCTGGCCGACTGGAGCGTTGACCGCGGGACTCCTTTGGGAGGAAACGAGTGCCGTGGCGGGCCTGGTTGCTACGGGGCCTCCCCCCTGCCCCCTTTCCCTTTACTGCTTCCACTCTGCACGCTCGCCCTGCAAGAAGTCCTAGCCGCGTAGCAGAGCGCTCAGAAGGCCTCCCGGGACTCAGAAGTAGAAGCGCTCTTCTGAGGCTCGAGTCCTAGGGAATCCTCCAGCCTGCGGGTGGTCTTGGAGACCCGCGTTGCTGCACATGCTCAGAGGGGTACGCGCTCCACCGTGTGCTTGGGCCATCCCGGGAGTGGACCTTCTGAACCCAGTTCGACTGTGCCCTCGGCAATAGGCGGGTCGCAGCCCCGAGCAGCGGCATCCGGAGGGCGCGGCTGTGCTTTTCCATCGCTGAGAAACAGGTCCTGGGTGCGTGCCCTGCCTGAGCAGGAGCTGCGCGAGCTTGCTTTCTTGCAGTTGTGAATTATACTTTTATGGTTACCCTAGAAGTTATGGCATACACCACTGATTTATTAGTCTCTTGTCAGTGAATTCTTCTTCCTTCAGAATTCAACGATGTAAAAAATTTTACCTCGGATACGTCTTACCTTTTGTACTGTTGTCAACCTGGATTTTAACTCTACATTTATTTTATTCCTCTCACTGTGGTATTATAGTTGTTTAAGACAGTCAGTGTCCATATAGATTTACCCCCATATTTTCTCTTCACAGTCCCCTTCATTCCTTTTTGCACTTTTATTTTTTAAGGATCATTCTTTTCTAACTTTAAGACATATCTTGAGTATTTATTTTAGCGTAGGTCTGCAGAAAATTAATTCTATCAGTTTGGGTTTTTCTGAAATCTACTTTATTTCATCCTCATTTGAAAAGGGTATTTTCTCGGGGTGCCTGGGTGTCAAAGTCGGTTAAGCATCAGACTCTTGGTTTAGGCTCTGGGCGTGATGGTCGTGAGATCAAGGCCTGCCTGGGGCTCTGTGCTAGGCGTGGAGTCTGCTGGAGTTTCTCGCTCCTTCTCTCTCTGCCCTTCCCCACCGTGGGCTCAAGCTCTCTCTCTGTATCTCAAATAAATAAATCTTTTAAAAAAGGGTGTTTTCTCTGGGACTAGAAGTCCACGTTAGCAGTGATTTTATTTCAGCACTTTAAAGATACCTTTTTACTCAGTTGAGTGTCTGACTCTTGATTTCTGCTTGGGTCATGATCTCAGGTTTGTGGGCTCGAGGAGCCCAGAATCAGGCTCTGCACTGAGCGTGGACCCTGCTTAAGATTCTCACTCCGGGACAACTCAGTGGCTTAGTCTGCTAAGCGTCTGCTTTCAGCCCAGGTCATGATAACAGGGTCCTGGGATGGAGCCCTGTGTGGGGCTCATTGCTCAGTGGGCAGTCTGCTTCTCCTTCTCCCTCTGCTTCCCCCCACCCCCTGCTTGTGTTCTCTATCAAATAAATAAATAAAATATTTAAAAAAAATTCTCTCCCTCTGCCTCTCCCCTCTGCTCACACATGTACGCTCTCTCTCAAAAAGAAAGAAAGAAAGAAAGATACCAAAACTTCATTGTATTCTGGTTTTCATTGTATTTATTGAAAAGTCAGCTGCCATTTTTATTGTTTCTCCTTTGAAGGTGATGTGCCTTTTTTCTCTGGCAGCAATTAGATTTTCCTTTTTTTCTCTTTTGTTTTCAGCAGTTTGACTATGATTTGCCTAGTTATGATCTCCTTTGTATCCATTCTGCTTTACATGAGTAGAGAGCTTTTTGAATCAATGGCTCGTTATCTTTTGTGAATTTTGTTATCTCTTCAAATTAGTATCCCTTCTAATTAAACATATATTGGATCTTTCCACCGTGTTCCATGTCTCTTACATTCTTTCCTTTGTTTTTTTTTCTCTTTTTTTTCACAGTGCTTCAGCCTGTACATTCTCTACTCTCTTCCAGTTCACCAAGGTTCTATTATGCTGCGTCTAACATCTATTTAGTGCTTAATTTAAGCTATGTTTTCAGTTGTAGAATTTCCATTTGATTCTTTCTAAAGATATCAATCATTATGTCACCTAATTTCTTGACATAGTAATCATAGCTTTTTTTTTTTTTTTAAGTTTGTGTCTGACAATGCAAATATTTGGATTGCTGTTGGGTTTATTTGTATCATCTGTTTTATCTTGGTTTCCTTCATCTGACTCGTGGCAGCCTGTGATTTTTTTTTTTTTTTGAACACCAGAAATTGTATATGAAAAGTTTTAAAAGATTTTTCTGGATGATGTTATCTTCCAGAAACAATTTTTTTCTGGCAGCCCAATTGAGTAGAATCTGATAACCTTCATCCCATCAAGGAATAAGATAATTTGAGGCCCTATTTCATGTTCATGAGGCCTCATCTTTATCAGGTTTGCCCCTCCTAGGTCAAAGCCGTTCAGGATTTTTACCTGAAACCCTAACAGACCTTGATCTCTGATTTTTGTTTCTGTCACTACGAGATTTCTAAAAGCTCTGCTTAAGTTTTTGGCCTCTTACTTGTTGCTTTCTGCTTGACTTCTTGACATCTTATCTTGTGTAGTTTAGAAACTGAACCATGCCCACTCTTTGGAGTTCCATTTTCTGTGGTTCCTTTTTTTGTTGGTCTTGACCTTCAAGTTCTGGTTACCTTAGCAGCAAGCAGTAAATCCAATTTTTATGCCCTACTTCATGAGACTTCTTGAAGCTCTGAATTACCATTTTCTGCTCTTAAGCTTGGCTCCATACGGCTTCAGGATTAACAAATGTGTCAAGGGAAAAAGAAGCAGCTCACTTCAGAATGTTTCTCTTCACTTAATCATCTAGACAGCTCTAAAGACTAGTTTCCTTGGTTTATATCTGACACCTTTAAAAAGCTGAGTTTTTTTGGGTATTTTATCTAGTTTTTATGGTTTCTATCAGCCAAAGAATTAGTATGAGATGAGATAACCTGTCCTATTTGGAAGAAGATTACTTGCTATACAATTTCTGTAGCTACTGGTTACCGGTTTAAGAAAGTTTCCTTCTAGGGCGCCTGGGTGGCTCAGTTGGTTAAGCGACTGCCTTCGGCTCAGGTCGTGATCCTGGAGTCCCGGGATTGAGTCCCGCATCGGGCTCCCTGCTCGGCAGGGAGTCTGCTTCTCCCTCTGACCCTCCCACCTCTCATGTGCTCTTTCTCTCTCTCTCAAATAAATAAAATCTTAAAAAAAAAAAAAAAAAGAAAGTTTCCTTCTATCCTTGGTTCACAAAGAGGCTTTCATGTTGCATTTTTAAAATGTTTTTTCTGGGGGCGCCTGGGTGGCTCAGTTGTTGGGCGTCTGCCTTCGGCTCGGGTCACGATCCCGGAGTCCTGGGATCGAGCCCCGCATCGGGCTCCCTGCTCAGTGGGAGGCCTGCTTCTCCCTCTCCCCCTCTCCCTGCTTGTGTTCCCTCTCTTGCTGTGTCTCTCTCTGTCAAATAAATAAATAAAATCTAAAAAAAAAAAAAAAATGTTTTTTCTGTATCTGGTGAGATGTGATTCTCCTCCTTTATTCTATCAGTGTAACATATGGTATTGATTGATTTATAAATATTGCATTTCCAGAAAAAACCCAGTTTTGTAATGACCTATTATCTTTTAATATATTTATAGATTCAGTGTACTAGCGTTTCATTTAGAATATATTGAAAAAGATTGAACTGATTTTTCCTTTCTTGGAACTTTCTCGTCAGCTGTTGGATCAAAGTAATGCTGATCTCATAGAACAAGATGGGAAAGGTTCCTTCTTTTCTCTGGAAGAGTTTGTGGAACATTAGTGTTGGTTCTTCCTTAGCCACCTGATAAAATTCATCAAGCAAGCCCTGTGAACCTTGAGTTTTCCTTGTGGAAAAGTTTGGAATTATGGATTAAATGTTTATAATAGATAACAGGGCAATTTAGATTTTCTAATCATGTGTCTTCTCCCTGACAGGATCATTGAGCCATTGCGTTAGTCACAGACTGGCTATCACCAGACTCCTTATTAGATGAACAAACTAAACATCTTGCTTTTCTAGGCTATTATGAGCCAACTTCCTGGCACTTATAGCTGGAAATACTTCTACCTGATATAGAATGATATTCAGGAGAACTTGGTTATAATTCTCATGTGACCACAGTGGAATGTCTGTATAAAAATAAATTGTATTTCTGTATGCCAGCAAAAAGACATTGAGAAAATGAAATTAAAAGAAGAACAGTTTACTCCTAGTACCCAGATCTTGCTTTTTAGCCACCATTCCCACTAAAAGGAAACCAGAGATTTTTAGAGGAATGTCTGATTCTGGGGCTGGGGCTGGGAGAATACATGATGAGCATGGGTATCTTATGCTCTTTATGTTCGAGATGCACTCAAAACCTAATGGGACATGTCTAAAGGACACAGGAATTATCATGAAAGACCTTCGGTGGGTCTTTCTGAGATCATTTGAACAGCAAAAAGTAACAGCTACAATTTATTGTAATACATTAAATAAACAAATAAAAATCCACGAGTTCATAGTGATACTCGAAAAAGGAACAAAAAAAGGTAAAAGAAAAAAAGGAGAAAGCTCTTTGTCTTATTCTTAGAATGAGTTCCAAGTTAACAGCGATGGAGCTGCATACAGATTTATTGGGGAGAAGCATCTGCAAGAGGTTGAAAAAGATAGGATTGGACAGAGGGAGGATTTACCCAGAATGTAGTAGCAACCAAGCCCTCAGACAATCCTACAGGGCGCTCTGGAGCTGAGATGGCCCTTCGGAGTTGTCCCAAGTTGAGGAGATTGGGCTAGGCCTTTGCATTCCTGCATCAGACACTCATTGACTACCGCCTGCTCCCTGGGCAGTGGTGGGGAGTGAAGGTGTAACTTTGAGTGAGGCAGTTCCCTGTGGCTGAGAGCAGGTTCCAGTGAGAGACAGCTGTGAGGTCAGAAGCTGATTCTCCCTGAAGCTGGGGGGATGATGGATTGGCCCTCAACAGGAGATCTGAGTGAGCGTCACAGTATTCACTACAGCAATTTTTTTTTTTTTTAAGAAGCCAGACACCAAAGAGGGCATATTGTCTGACTCTTTTTCATTTTTTTAAAAAGATTTTATTTATTTATTTGACATAGAGAGAGAGAGAGAATGAGAGAGGGAACATAAGCAGGGGGAGTGGGAGCGGGAGAAGCAGGCTTCCCGCTGAGCAGGGAGCCCAATGTGGGGCTCAATCCCAGGACCCTGGGATCATGACCTGAGCCAAAGGCAGACGCTTGACCAACTGAGCCACCCAGGTGCCCCTTTCACTACAGCAGTTATTTCTATAAGAATGCCACCTAATAAATATTAAAAATTGCTGTAATTAGAAAATAACTATTTTACATACCTCCATGTAATAATTGATTCAAGCAAGGAAGCTTAAGGGATATTGTCTTAGCTTGAACTGTTCTAACAAAATACCATAAAATGAGTAGCTTATCAACAACGGAAATTTACTTTTCATAGTTGTGGAGGCTGGAAGTCCAAAATCATGGTGCCAATATGGTTGGGTCCTTGGCGAGAGCCCACTTTCAAGTTGCAGATGACTGTATTCTTGTATCGTCACATGGTGGGAAAGGGGTGAACTAGCTCTCTGGCCTTTTCTTATAAGGGCACTAACTCCGTTCATGAATCCACACTCATGACCTAATCACCTCCCAAAGGCCCCCACCTCCGAACACTATCATATTGGGGGTTAGAATTTCAAAAAATGAATTTGAAGGGGGGACACAAACATTCAGTCCACAGCAGATGTTGAAAGCATTTGGTAAAAGGTTGTTTTAGAACAGGTTCTTAAATGTAGAATCAAAACATCACCCTACGGATCATTTGCTCCTTGCATAGAAAACTTAGTATCACAAAGAGTGGGTTACACAGTAGCACCTATGACGTATTCTTGGCAAAAATGTTTAACCTGGGGGCGCCTGGGTGGCTCAGTCATTAAGCGTCTGCCTTCGGCTCAGGTCATGATCCTGGGGGGTCCTGGGATCGAGTCCCGCATCGGGCTCCCTGCTCGGCGGGAAGCCTGCTTCTCCCACTCCCCCTGCTTGTGTTCCCCCTCTCGCTGTGTCTTTCTCTATCAAATAAATAAATAAAATCTTTAAAAAAAATGTTTAACCTGAAACTGATCAAGCCTGGAGACCTACCTTCAATTCTATAGAAACTACAAGAGATAAAGGAAGAGTTTAGGTGACATCAAGAGGAAACAATTAGAGGATACAGAGCATGAGACGTTCTACAAGCCAACTGGACTGGTTTTTCATCAAAAAGTCGGTATTAACCGGTCAGGGGAAGGTAATGATGACAGTGTAGTTTTTGATTTCCCTAAATGCTGTCTTACAAACAGAATCATTATAGTGAAAGAAAAAAAATTTCACAGGCTACATTTTGAACAAAAGAAGGTGACAAGCATCCCCAGGAGCCCCGGAATGCAAATGGGTGAAACCAAATCATTGACAATAGCAAGAACTTTGCAAGTTCTGCACAGGTTTAACGGTGATACAGAAGAGTAGCAGAAGGACCATGGGGTCATTCTGATGGTCCCATGAGCCCCCAAAGACACTAAACTCATACAAACCCTCCTCAGCTCACTTACTTACCGCCTCAGTTTCTACCACAGGGAATACTCCTAGCCCCAGTCTCCTCACCTGAAAGACTATCGACTTGCATCAAGACCCCTCAAGATTCTTCCAGGTGGCTGCCTTCTGTGGCATCCACCTGACCCCTGGGAAAACTCACCCTCTCACTCCACCAAACTCTAGACCTGCACACTGTCTACACTGCTGCTCTCTTTATTTTTTTTTTAAATTTATGTTAATCCCCATACATTACATCATTAGTTTTTGATGTAGTGTTCCATGATTCATTGTTTGAGTATAACACCCAGTGCTCCATTCAATAATTGCCCTCTTTAATAGCCATCACCGGGCTAACCCATCCCCCCACCCCCTTCCCTTCTAGAACCCTCAGTTTGTTTCTCAGAGTCCATAGTTTCTCAAGGCTCGTCTCCCCCTCCAATTCCCCCCCTTCATTTTTCCCTTCCTGCTTTTTTTTTTTAAACATATAATGTATTATTTGTTTCAGGGGTACAGATCTGTGATTCATCAGTCTTTTACAGTTCACAGCGCTTACCATAGCAAATACCCTCCCCAATGTCTATCACCCAGCCACCCCATCCCCCCCACCCCCCCACCACTCCAGCAACCCTCAGTTTGTTTCCTGAGATTAAGAATTCCTCATATCAGTGAGATCATATGATACATGTCTTTCTCTGATTCATGTATTTCGCTTTGCTGCTCTCTTTCTTTACCTGGCCATTTCAGGCTGCCATCTGGCCTCCTCTTTACAGGTTCATCCAGGTGGGCGCAGTCATCAGTCTATCTTCACACCCCCAAATCTTGAGGACAAGCTTTACGAAAAACTCTCAAGCTGCACCACAGAGACAAGATCGGATGGGTTGGTGAGTTTCTGCAGATCAGATGTTAGTCTCCCCATCTAGAAGGCAACCTCCATGGTTCTGAATCACCTTGGGGCCCCTTCTCTTAGCTTGAGGTGGCGGTGGGGAGGTCCAGAAGAAAGGGGCAAAGTGCTCCCTACTGCAAAATTGCCTTTCAAAAAATAATTTTTAATTTTTTTTTAAGATTTTATTTATTTATTTGAGAGAGAGAGAGAATGAGAGACAGAGAGCATGAGAGGGGTGAGGGTCAGAGGAAGAAGCAGACTCCCTGTTGAGCAGGGAGCCCAATGCGGGACTCGATCCCGGGACTCCAGGATCATGACCTGAGCCGAAGGCATCACTTAACCAACTGAGCCACCCAGGCGCCCTCAAAAAATAATTTTTAAAAAGGAATTTCCAACCTGCTCTCACATCGGCTGGGGGAGGAGGATGGGCTGATAAGCCAAGAACTTGTTGGCACCTCACAGTTAAATTTTCCGGAATATGTGTAGACACCACATGAATATGAATATGCCTGGAATTAATGGATACAAATAAAATATTTGTACTCTTCCCATTTTATCCTTGCACCTGCCTCTAGCTAGGGTTACCTAGTATTTTATAAAGCCAAAATAATCTTATTTTTTTCATGGGTGGATGTGTTTTTCTAGAAATAGTCCTTCAAGTTGCCAGAAAATGACTAGATGATAATTCTAATTCACTCTAAGAAATTAAAAGCTCCAGAAAAGGTGAAGATGTAGGTAAATATAAAATATTGTTTATTTTAAAATCTTTTAACAGATTTAAAAGACATAATATTGCATAAAATAATTATAAAATGTATTGAATTTATAACATATAAAGATATAATATATAAAGGTATAATATATATGACAACAATGACACAGAGAGGGGAGAGGAAGAAATGGAGCTATGTTAGTGCAAGTTTTCTATATTTTACCAAAAGTAAGTTAGCATTAACGTGAAGTAGATAGTGACAAGTTAAGATAGATTTTATAATCCCTAAAGCAACAATAAATGATTTTTAAAAATACAGTAAAATAATACAACAAAGGAATTTAAATGGCATAACAGGAAAAATCTAACACAAAAGAAGAAAGTAAAGAAGGAAGAGTGAAACAAAAAAGACATGAAACATATAGAAAAGAAATAACAGAATGGAAAATATAAATTCATCATGTAAATAATTAGATTAAATGTGAATAGATTACACATTCCAGTAAAAAAAATATATAGACTGTTAGGACAGAAAACAAGATTCAGGGGCGCCTGGGTGGCTCAGTCAGTTAAGGGTCTGCCTTCGGCTCAGGTCATGATCCCAGGGTTCTGAGATCGAGCCCCGCATTGGGCTCCCTGCTCAGTGGGGAGCCTGCTTCTCCCTCTGCCTCTGCCCCTCACCCCTGCTCATGTGCTCTCTCTCATGCTGTCTGTCTCTCTCAAATAAATAAATAAAATCCTAAAAAAAAGAAAACAAGATTCAACTATATGCTGTCTACAAGAGACACACTTTATTTTGGAGGACACAGCTACGTTAAAAGTAAAAGGATGAGGAAAGATGCACCATTCAAACAGCAGCTATAAAAGTGCTTGGGTCGCCATATTAATACCTGACAAAATAGACGTTAAGACAAAAAATACCAGAGTCAAAGGGGGTATTTTGTATTGATAAAAGTGTAAATTTACCAGGAACATAGAACAATTTGAACCTGTATGTATGTAACAATAGAGCCCAAAATACATGAAGCAAGAGCAGACAGAATTGAAAGAAGAAATGGACAATTTAACAATAACAGTTGGAGCTGTCAACACCCCATCTCTCAATAATGAATAGAAAAGCCAGACGGACTATCAGCAAGGGTATAGAACCCTTGAACAACACTATCAACACACTTGAACTGACTGACATCTATAAAACAGTCCATCCAACATGAGTAGAACACACATTCTTTTCGTGTGCCAGTGGAACATTCTCTAGGATAGCCATAAAAAGCCTCAGGAAATTTAAACGGTTTGAAATCATACAAAACATTATTCTCTGAACACAGCAGACCTGAATTAGAAACCACAAAGAATGAAATTTGGGAAATTTCCAAACATTTGGAAATTAAATAACACTTTTTTTCTTTTTAAAGTAGGTCCTACGCCCAATGTGGGGCTTGAACTCATGACCCCAAGATCAAGAGTCTCACACTCCACTGACTGAGCCAGCCAGCTGCCCCTACATCACATGTTTCTAAATAACTCATGAATGAGAGAAAAAAATTACAAAAGGAATTTAAAAATATGTTGAAGTGAAAGAAGATGAAAATACAACATATCAAAAGTTATGGGCTAAGGCAGTGCTTAGAGGAATGTTTTATAGCTTAAAAACCTATATGAGAAAAGAAAAAAAGAATCCCAAATCAATAACCTAAATTTCTACCTTAAGAAATTAGAAAAAGAAGAGCAAACTAAATCCAAAGCAAACAGAAGGAAGAATATAATAGAGATTCGGGCACAAATAAATGAAGTAGAAAAACAACAACAACAAAACTATTAAGAAAATCAATGAAACCAAAAGCTGGTTCTTGGGAAAGGTCCATACATTTTAACAACCTTTATAGTTAGACTGACCAAGACAAAAGAGAGGAGACAGAAGTTCCCAATCTGGAATGAAAAAGGAATCACCACTATTGATCTAACAGAAAGTAAAAGAACTGTTAGGGAACACCATGATCAACTTTATGCCAACAAATCAGAATATGTAGATAAAATAGACAAATTGTCAGAAATATGCAAATGACCAAAATGGACTCAAGTACAAATAGAGACTCTAAATAGGCTTATAATAAGTAAGGGCATTGAATTAGTAATTAAAATTCTGCTTGTGAAGAAAAGTCCAGGCTCAGATGGCTTCACTGGTGAGTTCTATGTAATATATAACAAGAATTAACTTTGACTCTCACAAATTTTTCCAGAAAATGGAGAAGAGAACACTTTCCAACTCATTCCATGAGAACACAATTGCCCTGATACCAAAGCCAGATAAAGACAGCACAAGAAAAAAACACAAAAAAATACTGACAGATGTCCTTCATGAACATGGGCATAATAATCTTCAACAAGATATTAGCAAACCAAATCCAGCAACATATTAAAAAGATCATACACTGTGACCAAGCAGAATTTATTTCACAAATGCAAGATTGATTTATCATCTGAAAATCAATTTATATAATAAATTGTATTAATGGCATAATGGATTAAAAAAACACACTTTCATCTCAAATAGATACAGAAAAAAACATTTGATAAAATCTTACATCCATTCATGATTTTAAAAACCAAAAAACAAACCTCTCTGCAAACTAGTAATAGGCAGGAACTTCCTCAATTAGGTAAGTGGCATCTATGAAAAACCCACAACTAAAATCATACTTAATGATGAACATTAAATGCTTTCCCTGAAATGGAAACAAAGCAAGAATGTTCACTCTTGCCACGCCACCTTTATTCAGTATTGAGCTGGATGTTCTAGCCCATGGGGGAAAGAAAAAAATTAAAGGCATCCAGATTGGAAAGGAGGAAATAAAGGTTACCTTAATTTGCAGATGATATGATTTTAAAATTTTAAAATTCCTAAGGTATCCACCTGTATTTTAAGTTTTTTAAAAATTTCATTTTATTTTAAAATTTAAAATTTAATTTTACAATTCCTAAGGTATCCACAAAATATTACTAGAACTAATAAACAAGTTGAACAAGGTTATAGGACATAAGATTAATGCACAAAAATCAATAATGCTTTTATATACTAGTAATGAAAAATCTGCAAATGAAATTTAAGGAAAGGATTCCATACACAATAGCATCAAAGGTATGAAATACTTAGGAGTCAATGTAACAGAAGAAATGTAAGACTTGTACAAAATATCATTGAAAAATTAAAGATCTAAGTAAATGGAGAGACATTCCATGTTGATGGATTAGAAAACCAAATACTGTTAGATAGATCTATAGATTGGTATAGATAGCAAAAGATCTATAGATTTAACTCAGTCCTTATAAAAATCCCAACTGGCTCCCCCCCCCCCAGAAATGTACAAGTTGATTCCAAAAGGACCCAGAATAGCAAAAACATTTTTGAAAAAGAAGAACAAAGTTGAAGGACTTTCACTTCCTGATTTCAAAGAAACTAAAAACAACCATAAGGACAGTAATCAAGACAGTGTGGTATTGTCATGACGACAGACAATGGTACAGAATTGAGTCCATAAACAAACCCTTACGTTTATGGTTAATTTTTGGCAAAGATGCCAAGACAACCCAGTGGAGAAAGGAAAGTCTTTTCAACAGATGGTGCTGAGACAATTGGATAGCCACACGCAAAAGGATAGATTTGTACCCCTTACCTAGCAACATACACAAAAATTCACTCACGGTGGGTCACAGATCTAAATGTAAGTGCTAAAGCTATAAAACTTTTAGAGAAAAACATGGGAGCATATTGTAGCTTATGGTGGATTAGGCAAAATTTCTTAGGTGTAACACCAAACAAAATACATGAAAGAACACCTTGATGAATTGAAATTCATCACAATTATAAAACCTTTGAGCTTCAAAATACCCTGTGAGGAAAATGCAGGGGCGCCTGGGTGGCTCAGTCATTAAGCGTCTGTCTTCGGTTCAGGTCATGATCCCAGGGTCCTGGGATCGAGCCCCACATCAGGCTCCCTGTTCAGCGGGAAGCCTGCTTCTCCCTCTCCCACTCCCCCTGCTTGTGTTCCTGCTTTTGCTATCTCTCTCTCTGTCAAATATATAAATAAAATCTTTAAAAAGAAAAAGAAAATGGAAAGACACAGACCAGAAAAAAATACTTGCGATTCATATTTCTGGCACAAGATTTGTGTCCAGAGTGTACAAAGAAGTTTTACCACTCAATAATATGACAACAAGCTTAATTTAAAGATGGGCAAAAGTTTCAAATACACATTTCACCATGGAAAATCTACAAATGACCAATAAGTGCAGGAAAAGATGCCCTACACCATTAATCTTCAGGGAAATGCAAAAAAACCCCACAACGAGACAGCCCTTCCTACCCAGAAGAATGTTGGTGAAGATGTAGAAAAATTGGAAGCCTCATGTATTGCTGGTGGGAAAGTTAAAACAGGACAATCACTCTGGAAAAACAGTTTGGCAGTTTCTTAAATAAATGAAGTTGCCATAAAACCCAGCAATTCTTGAGGTATGTACTCAAGAGAAATGAAAACATAATACGCAAAGACTTGGACGCCCATGTTCATAGGCACGTTATTCCTAATAGCCAAAAAGCGAAAAGAATTCAAATGTCCATCAATTGACAGATGGATAAATAAAATGTGTTCTATCCATTCAATAGACAATAAAAAGGAATGAAGTACTGATATTTGTTAGAACATGGATGCATCTCAAAAACATTATGCTGAGAGAAAGAAGCCAGACGCAAAAGCCCATATACTGTGATTCCATTTCTATGAAATGTCCAGAGAAGGCAAATCTATAGGGATAGAAAGCAGTTTAATAGTTGTCTGGGGCTGGGCGTTGGGAGTGAGGATGGCGAAAGGGATATTTTTTGAGCAATGGAAATAGTCTTTTTTTCTTTTTTAAGATTTTATTTATTTGACAGAGAGAAACACAGCCAGAGAGGGAACACAAGCAGGGGGAGTGGGAGAGGGAGAAGCAGGCTCCCTGCTGAGCAGGGAGCCCGATGTGGGGCTCCATCCCAGAACCCTGGGATCATGACCTGAGCCAAAGGCAGACGTTTAACCCACTGAGCCACCCAGGTGCTCCAGAGATGTTCTTAAAGTGGATTGTGTTGATGGTTTCTCAACTCTATAAATTAAAAAAAAAAAATCATTGAATTGTACATTCAAAATGGGCCAATTTTGTGGAGTATAAATTATTCATTGATAAAGCTGTTTTTAAAAAAGTCAAAGCTGCCCTGGTTCTTACCCACAAGATGCAGGGTGCCTGACATTTAACAGAAGAGACAGACACATCTGCAAATGTAATATTTTGAGCTAATTTCATTTATAGACGTGTATTCAATGCGCTATGGTTTTTTTCTAATTATGTTTCACACCTGATCTCAAAATCCAACCTTCTCCTTGGAAAAGGTGGATTTAAGTAACAGCACCCTGAAATCTCTTATTATTAAGCCTCTCTCTTTCTGTCAATCCATCCATTATCTATCTACCATTGAAATAGTGTAGAAGACAAAATGGAAAGACTAGATGCAGTGCTTGCTTTCGAGTAGTTTATATATAAGTACACGAATAGCAGCGGTTTCCCCGTCATTCTCTTTCTGACTCTATCTCGGTCTCTGTTTTTTCCCTCCAGGTAGAAGATGCTGAAATGATAATTTGACTAAGTTTTCTGAATGCAGTCTGGAAACATTTTGCAGAAAAGCTGAATTTAAGGGGAGAAATTTCCTGGAGTGGAAGGAATTGGTGTGGTGAAAAGCATAAAGTAAATGTTCCAGAAAAGAGAGATACATATGGGAGAATAATTTGATTCAGTTTTTGTTGGCTTATGTATGGAGAAGAACAAATGCATTTGCTTGGCTAACCTTATTCTGTAACAGATTTTTAAGGAGTGGGTGGAGGATGGAGAGGTTAGTTGAAGAAGACTTAACCAATTTGAAATTTGGTTGAAATTCCTCATAATTCGCACAGCTCATAGCTAAGACATTGATCAAAAATAGTTTCCAAAATTTGTTTACTAAATTCCTGGACGTGAACTTTTTTTTTTTTTTTTTTTTACCAGTTTGGACATTGCAGAAACTTAGGGAATTCAGAATGTCAGAACAAGGGTCTTCCACTCAGAAAGGATAAACCAGAAGTTATTACTGGAATTTACTGGAGAGATTTAATTTTTTTTTCCAGTTTTTATCATAGGATTTTCCTTGGGACATGGTAAAGGAGAACACCCCCCCCTTACCCAACATTGTAGCCTTATTCTCCAAAATTGTTAATTTCACACATCTGAGGTTGGTATAGGAAATGTAAATTCATGTGATTGCTGAAAGCAAAAGGTGTACTGTGGCCACACTGGGGCAGCAGACACTTGGCTTTTCTAGCTTTCTCTCCTGGAACTGTAATAAATGGAGCGATCATACACATTACTCTTTGATTTAAATGTCTTTTTCAGACTGCTAAACCGAGAGAAAGGACTACCCTTAAAATACTAACAACAGAGACCTCACGTGTTAATTAAGAGGTTGGGGAAGAGCTTGATTTTTTTTCCTAAATGGCTAGTTTTTCAGAGGTCATTGAGAGCAAGGGACTGTTTCTTAGTCATTGGATAGCCTCAGGGCAATCGCATCTCCTGAGAGCTCAATAAATTTTGGTTGTCGTTAGTGTTTCTAGAAGGCAAGTGCTCCAACTCGCCAAAGCGTAATGTCTAAGCTTTCAGACCACCGCCATCCGGAGGGACCTGCATCTCTTCAGCTGCGGGAACTTCCCGCAGTCTAGCAGATCTGCAGCTTTTCTAAAGTTCTACGGTACTGAATTCAACATGATTCAGTTCCCAGCTTCTCAAGGAACCTTAAAAAAAATCGGTGATTCTGAGAAAGCATATCTGGCATGGTTACTTTTTGTTTACCTTGTGAAATTAATAAAAGGTGGGGCGCCTGGGTGGCTCAGTCGGTTAAGCGGCTGCCTTCGGCTCAGGTCGTGATCCTGGGTTCCTGGGATCGAGCTCCGTGTCCGGCTCCCTGCTCTGCCGGCAGCCTGCTTCTCCCTCTCCCTCTGCCTGCCACTCTGCCCACTTGTGCTCTCTCTCTGTCAAATGAATAAATAAAATCTAAAAAAAAAAAGAAATTAATAAAAGGAAACCTCAGGGCGCCTGGGTGGCTCAGTTGGTTAAGCGACTGCCTTCAGCTCAGGTCATGATCCTGGAGTCCCTGGATCGAGTCCCGCATCGGGCTCCCTGCTCAACAGGGAGTCTGCTTCTTCCTCTGACCCTCACCCCTCTCATGCTCTCTGTCTCTCATTCTCTCTCTCTCAAATAAATAAATAAAATCTTAAAAAAAAAAAAAAACAGTTGGTAAAAGGAAACCTCATTAAAGCTGATTCAGGATGCTAGAGAGGGGAACTGGTAGAGGAAGTCTACCAGGAATGTCAATTACAGGAAAACTGTCAATTACAGACCCCTAACTGAAGAATCTGCAAGAGGAAACAATGATCAATTACAGGCCCCAAGAGGAAAAGATGTACACTGTATCTCCTACAAGAAATTGACTACCCCTGCAACTCAGCCACTGAGAAACCCATTATCACCTGAACCCTTGCTTTTCTCCCGTGGACTTTTGTTCAAAACAACCCCTCCCAACTCCCTCCTTCTCCATAAAATAACGCTCCTCTCTTTTGTTTTTGTTAGTCAGACCTGCCTATGGCTTTGCGGAACCCTGTTTGTTCAGGACGGCAATTTTCTGCTATTCCCGAATAAACCTATTTTTGCTGGTAAAATAACTGGCTGTTTTATTTTTAAGGTTAACAGCCTATATGGTGCCAGCACCAGAACTACAGTTGGAGGTCTGGGGGTGGAAGGTGAGGGTGGGAGGGCCAAGGTTGCAATCTTGTGCCTACTACTTCATCTGTCACCTTTGTTCCCCTACCAGCCTCTAATAAACACCATGGTCTCCTGGATGAGGTGTGGCACTCACGAGGGCACCAGCTGCCTAACTTTTGTGAAGATTAAAAAACGGAAACTTCCCTAGGGGCTCCTGGGTGGCTCAGTTGGTTAAGCGACTGCCTTCGGCTCAGGTCATGATCCTGGAGTCCTGGGATCGAGTCCCACATCGGGCTCCCTGCTCAGCGGGGAGTCTGCTTCTCCCTCTGACCCTCCTCCCTCTCATGCTCTCTGTCTCTCATTCTCTCTCTCTCAAATAAAAAAAAAAAAAATTAAAAAAAAACAAAAAAACCCGGAAACTTCCCTAAAGTGAAACAGCAGAGCTAGAAGGGGGAGCATACCACTCAATGTCAATTACAGAAAAAATTGTCGATTACAGACCCTAATGGAAGAGTCCTCAACAGGAAAGAATGATCAATTATAGGCCCCAAGAGAAAAAGATGTACTTGCATCTTTTTTCTTTTCTTTTCTTTTTTTTAAAGATTTTATTTATTTTGAGAGAGAGAATGAGATAGAGAGAGCATGAGATGGGGGAGGGTCAGAGAGAGAAGCAGACTCCCTGCTGAGCAGGGAGCCCGATGTGGGACTCGATCCTCGGACTCCAGGATCATGACCTGAGCTGAAGGCAGTTGCGTAACCAACTGAGCCACCCAGGCGCCCCTGTACTTGCATCTTCTATTAGAAATTGACTACCCCTGCGACTCAACCAAAGAGAAACCATCATCTCTGCTGCACCCCTGCTTTTCTTCAGTGGACTTTCATTCCAAACAACCTCTCCCAACTTCCTCCTTCTCCAAAAAATTGTGTTCCTCTCCTCCATTTGTTGGACTCGCCTGTGGTTTTGCCGTCGCTTGCATGTCCCAAATTGTAATTCTCGGCTACTCTGGAATAAACCTTTTTTTTTTTTTTTTTTTTTTTTTTTTGCTGTTAAGATAGCTGGCTATTTTCTTTTTAAGGTTAATACTTTTTACCTTTCACTAACTCAACCCCATTTGTTTAACCCATTTGTTGGATGCCTACTTTTTCTTAGGTGCTCCTTACAGATCTCATGTTCTTTTTCTCTACATTGTAGGAAAGCTGGTTCGCACCTTGTTTCGTAGGCACCGTTCCCTCTGCCCGGAATATCCTTTTCTTCTTCTCGAGCTAATTCCTCTATGCTTTCACAGTCCAGCCCAAGGCACGCCCTACTGTAGTTGAGATGCGGCCACAATGGACTCTCAGCCCCCAGCCTTACCCTCAGCACAGGATGAGATCACAGACTCTTTTCATTTTCCTCTGTTATGAGACCATAAGCTCCCTGAAGCCAGAGCTCTGCCTTATTTGGCTTTGCATTCCCAAAGTCTAGCAGCATTTCTGACACATTGGAGCAGCTCCATCCATGTTTGTGGGAACGAGTAAATGAATCAATCCACTTACCACTGAATGAGATGTTTCATTTCCTTCCCTTCTCTTCTCCAGTTAAAATGCCTTGGTATTAAAAAAAAATCCCTCTTAGGAAATTATTTTAGAAAGAGGCAGTCAGCTCCTACCTCCCACACAAGGAACATCAGAGAATACAAATGAGCCGTAATTTACAAGTGGTACTTCCTGAAGGAGGAAATTTGTAGCATGAACCTCTCAATGTTTCAGCCACTGCGTAGTCCTATGGTGATAGAGGCCAAGCTCCAGGCCTGCGGCTCGGGGAGATGCCCCACATCGGGCTTCCAGAAGCCCCTCAGTGTTCTAAGGAAGTTATTCATCGATTTTCACAGCATCTCTGGAGGCTAAGCATGGGAAATGGAGAATTTCTTTTCTTCCTGTCCTTCTCTCTTTCTGCATGAACCTTCTTAACAGTCGGGGAGTTAGAAAACAGAAAAAGACCTAAGCAAATTGCCTAGCATCACGTAAATGAGAACAGCCAAGCCAGGACGCACTCTGGTGCTCATTCCACAAATCCGTGCTTCCTGTAACTTACACAGGTCTGTGTTTTAATGAATTCGTGGCATATGGGCCATAATATTCAAAGTGCCTGGCATTTCCTGCAATTTATGATCAGGCCGGGAATAGGTTGTTTTCTCCTTTTGAGTGAATTTTCACATGCCTAGGTTTGGAGTTAATAAACTTGACATAAGTGAAAATAGTTTCTAGAATAGGTAATGCTTTTTTGTTCCTTCTGTGATCTGGATCCACATCTTCTCTTTCTCACACCAAACTTCATCCCTACCCATGAACTGCCATCACTGTTTCTTCTCTGGCCTTTTGAGAATGAGCGGCGAGATACTGTTCTCGAAGTCTGCATCATGGGGGAAGGAAGATGATTTTGTTTGCTGTCTTCGCTATGAACAGAGACGTTCACAGGCCCTCCCCAGTGACCTACAGTTGTTGGACTCTTGTCTGTAGATAAAGAGCTCTCCTTCTGACTTGACTTTTGTTTATCTGGTTTCCAAAAGGCCTTGTTGATCCAGGTAGTGGTGAAAGTCTGTGAATTCAGAAATGGCCCCACCCATGCGCTGTGCTTGGCTAAGTCTTTCTGAGTTGTGTTGAGTGAGAACGGTAGCTAGGTGGCTTTGGTCCAGCTCACTGAGAAAGTTGCCGTTGCGAATTTATTGTGGGCATTTGATGCTCAGTACGGGTTATACCCATTGATGTCAGTGAGCCTAGGCAAATACCTGTTTTACTAATATTGATGTTTGTGTTATGTTCTGGAAGTGAATTGAAGTTCCCTGTAAGCCTGACCCCCTCTTCTCCACCAGATCTTTGGTTGGCAAATGCTAGCAGTGATTTTTTTTTTTAAGAACCTCAAATTGCGTTTCTCAGACGTGCCTTCTAAAGGAGATTATCCCATGCTTTGTTTTCTTTCTAATATTTTATGTGTGCAGTTCTTACCAGCTTGCAAGAACTCTTTAAAATGGAATCCCCGAATATGTGAAATGCATTCTTTTTCTGAGACAGACTGTCATGGGAGCTATTTAGAGCCTACATCATCCTGTTTGAGGGCTGAATGCTGCACTTTTCTGAGCATATTCTTAACTCAAACAGCAAAAGGCTGCAAGTCAGTTGAGTATTTCCAGACCCAGGCAATTTGTCAGTGAACTGTAGATCTTCAGGATTTTCCCTTGCACTAGGAGCCCTCCAGAAGCACCACTGGAATTTCCAGAATGAGTCCTGAACACGTTGAAGCTACTGGCATGACCCTGGGTGCCCTGGCATCCAGGAAAGTCCTTTTCTCAATGTTCAAATGACTCCTGCCCTACACCTGGGTTAAAATATTTGGAATTCCTAAGCTAATATAATAATGAGGAAACCTCTAGGTTTCAAAGATCCCAGTTCAAATATAAACATCAGGAAAGCGAGGGAGTCAGTCTCCTGGGTTTGCAATTCGTTACAGATGTGCAATTCTTGGGGCCCATGGAGGCATACAAAGTCCTTCTCTCACTGAGGGGAGACAGAGACTGGGGGAGAAAAGAGGAGTGTTTCCCAAGGAACTCAATTCAGCCAGGTACACAGTATCTATATTGGATCTTGTTAGTGCTTGATGGGGCAAGAGGGTTCCCATGGTAATTCCCTGAGGTTAACCAGCTGTGACAGGGGAAAGTGATAGCCATATGATTCATGAATGTGTATAACCAGACTGGCCCAGGCAAGGTTCACAGGGTCACATAGAGACCAGTGTCTGAGGTCAGATTTCAGGCAGCGTGCATGTGCTATCCTGTATGCAGACTAAAAAAGAAGCAGTAAGTGTTGGCTTGAATAA